AGGAGTGAAGGAGTGAAGGAGTGAAGGAGTGAAGGAGTGAAGGAGTGAAGGAGTGAAGGAGTGATGGAGTAAAATCGTCGCACCACTGCAACTTGGAAAACAGAAATATTTTCCAGGTTAAAAATAAAAGAGACACTATTGCAAACGGCGGTTATTGCTGACCAAAATGGCAGAAAAATGTGGGAAAGACAAATTGTGGAAATGAAGAGCTTGCTTTTCTTGCAAGTGCGATCAAGGAAGGTTGTTGTTGTTAAGAACAAGTCAACGAAGGCGACTCCAGATGCAGCCAGCATTACTAACCAAAGACGATTTTTGAATTTGGTTTGCCTTCTATTATTGCTTATTCCCAAAGGAACATCACAGTTCCTCGTCCAGTTCGTTCCTGTCGTCGGTTTCTTCAAGATTAATTTATTTTGTCATTTTCTCTCAAAAACATGACGCGTAGTACGCCACCGTACTGCCTGCTTTCCAACCCGCTACACTCTCGTCGTTTTCAAATACGGAACACCGCATACAGAAGTGGCTTTTGCACATCAAGCAAGCATATTTCGTGCTCTCGAAGCAAGAGGAACACATATATCTTCCCGCTCTTCCCGCTCTTCCCGCCATTTTGCTCCAAAAGATCAAAACACATAACGCATGACAAAAATAGGAAACGTGCAGAACTCTGAGTAAAAATTAATTTATTTAATGTATTTGTAATATGTGCATGAGGTTCGGTATATGAAAAGTTCGACGTTTGAATCGGAATCTTTATGTCGAACTTACGAATCTTTGAAATAAGCTAGGAGTCATCTGACTATTCAATTCAAACGAGCCCTAGATGTCCCAGACCAAAATAATGGAAACTACTGTAGGTGAGATAATTATACGGCAAATTATACGCATCGAGTTTTCTTCGTCCTCGAAATAGAGAGCTTTCTAAACGAATAATCAACCTCACGRACGTCCTACAGCGCAGCGATTGAGATAAMTGAGGTTTCGAACTGCAGAACTAGCTATGTATTTGTGGATTTCATATACAGATACACGCACGAAGGCCAACAATCGGCGCTTGAGTTGCTCGTCTGCATACACAATTGGTTTGTTCTTTGAGCAACAAAATATATCTCAATTACAACTTAAAACGAATCAAGCATTGATAAGTATATGAGGAAAGTTAAACAAACTATTTAGATTCGACTTTACGGACGGAGATTGAAGCGCTGAAAGGAAGCTAAAGGAGACCCTGGAGGAGAAGGGTTTGGACGGAATCGCAACACTCAGTTTGTTAGCGTACGTAAAAAAGACTTTTAAAACAAAAGAACAGTGAAGGAGAAATGTATTCATTAAACTGATACCATACTGAACCTTTAGTCAAGATCTTGTCGAAGGATTTTTTAATTACTAGTACGAAAAGTGCAAATTTGTGAAACTCGCAATCAATGTTTATGTTCGTAGATACTAATTGACTTTGTATACATTCGGTCGTTCGGCAATAACAAAGCGAAAGGACGAATTTTTCCGCGTTTTAGAATAATTAGTGGAAAAATATGCTCTCGTCGTTATGAACTATCAAGGTTTCGGTAAGAGTACTTAAAGAAGTGTTGTATATGGATTAGTAGATTAGCCAAATGGGCCGGCAAATTGTCGATCGTGACTTGCAGTGTGGCGGGCTCGACTGGCGACCCGCACTTCGAAATCGAAAAAACATATATACATCGTAGCCGTGCTAATCGTAGCGAGACTCCGAATTGTATTGCTAGATGGTACAGTTCTTTCACTTAACAGTCTTGCCCATTTTTGATGAAATATGAAGCACAAATACCCCAAATATGTTTTCAGAGCGCTTGAAACCCAGTCAAACGTCTCTTGAGTGTTTTGAGCAATGTCCTTCGATGACGTCACAAGAAGCCCGACCCAGATCCCGCTATGCTCGGTCGTGGGGCAAGAAACTGTAGAATCGCGGGGATTTTATCAATCGAGATAATTTTTTCGCAGAAGTAATAGGGAAAACTAGTAGATTTCATTAAAGGAAAAAAAAATTGGGAGTTAAATGCACTTTAATTCACGGGTCGACCCAAATAATATTTGTTGAACTTAATTGATTCAAACGTCGATCTCGTCATGTACTTAATTGCATGGGGCTATTAGCTCGGCTCATGAAAAGTCCGACGTTTGAACCGCGCCTAAGTGACAGGATTTTCGTGTCGTTGGCCTGTTTCATCCCGAAGCGCCGTCCCATATTCGGCATTCATTAATTAAGCTTCTCTTCACTACAAGTTAAACTGTTTGTGAATGATCTTTTTAAATTAAACATCACCACACGTACGGGAGTCTCATTTATATTTGTACTTTTCTTACTCTTAGATTGTGAATCTCACTGTTCTTACTGGTCAGAGGGTATTTGGGGAAATGCCCTTCTCTGCTTGAATCTTATTTCACCCGAACTCGCTTTTAAATGCACCACAACAGTTACTGACAAGATGTAAGGACTTATTTTTCGTTACAGCTATGGTATCTTTTGGGTATAATTTAAAAGGGGACAAGTATAAATTAAAGGTTTTGCCTCGTAGCTGATAAATGCAAAGTTGGAACTGAAAAACACTGCAAATTCCGTCACGTTGACAAATTTAGAGTAAATAGATTAGGTTGTGATGATTAGTTTTTCCTTGAGCTAAACCCTGTTAACACCTTTAAAACTTTTTAAATAGTTTAAATCCAGATCAGTAGACCATCGAATTAATTAACAGTTCTTTTCACAACTACTCCCACCCAGACGGTCACACTATACGAACAGTACCCAAACTATAGACTAAATTTCAAGCAAGTCATAACTTAGCGAGCTCAAAAAGGGATATAAACATTAACTTCCCACTATCCAATGCAGTTGACTTAGGTCAATAATAATTGTTTTTTGTATAAATGTGTTTGTTTTCAGGTCAATGGAGTATACAGGAAACTTTTCGCATCCCTCTGCAGAGTTTTTTTCAGGCCTTGAAAACCTGAAGTGGCTGTCAGTATATTTTGCAATGTTACTTGCACTTACCTACATGCATTTGTCTATTCTACAACCTTTTAACCCCCCCCCCCCCTATTCCATTCTACCTGGTGGATCGGGGAAGCAGGTTATTTTGATCGAAGCTGAGAAACACTGACGTTTTATGTACTCATTTCATTGGTCACTCGGTAGCAGTTTTCATAGCTATAACACTTGATGTAAACATAATATCCGTAAATCTTCTGCTTCTAGAAGATGAGGACATTGGACAACCTAAACTCTGTTGCAGATGTGTAAAATATTTTAGAACATAATCTAAGAGTAACGCCCACCATACCTACATTCAAGCTTAGCTTGTCCAAAGTGAAATATCAATTCGTTGTTCTTACTTACAAGCGGTTCTCTTTCTTTCTAATCACTGTATCTTTCCATTCTTGTCTATTCATAATTACTTCGGGTCTAGGTTAGGTCTTTCTTTAGGTTCATGTAATTTAACAGTGATTATCCTTGATTATCTTAATTTTATAATTTTAGTTGAGCGTCCTTCTGAAAAACCCTATTTGATGCAGGCTTTCTCATCAATGATATATATTATTATTATTATTATTATTATTATTATTATTATTATTATTATATCATTTAAAAACTTAGACCCATCTAGTTAGTGTATTGTGTTATTGGTCAAACGTTTCTCTCTATAACAAGAAATGAGGTGGAACTAATTGATGGAAATATAATTTCATCCATCGTAAACATGGTGGTTGGTTTTGTTTCTGGTCCACCGCACTGGATGCAGTCAACTTTCGTAAGTGGTTCTTTTAAGAAATGGTAAGCGTACAGCGTGCAACTATCGAGTTATGGATGCACGCGGCCACTGAAGGTGTAACAGGCGGCTGTGACCACTAAAGGGGCCGTAAGGCCCGTCTGCCCTAGGGGGGTCTGGGGATATGCTCTCCCAAAAAAATTTGAAATCTAGAGGCTTGGAAATGCGATTTCCAGCGTTCTGGCCATCAAAAAGCGTGCTGTTGATGGGTATTTTTATTAACCACAAAGCAGGATTTTTTTGACAAACTAATGATTTTTGGATGCAAAGAGGAGCATTTTGAATACCTTTCTAGGCAGATATCTCTCAGTGACACTTAATATTCACTTAGGCAGTAATTTCTTTGAAGTCCTTTCTTAAAACAAGTACAACTTCTCTGCTACTCATTCAAATGTACCAACATGGCAACAAACTGATTTCTAATTCTTCAGAAAAAAATGAAATGAGATAAACTTAACAACTAAATTCTTTCTACTAATATTCTTACAAAACCAACCTTCATTTTCAACTTTTCATTTATTCTCCCAAGGTTCATTATTAAGGTATTCAATAATCGTAAAATAATGAACAATTAAATCATATTACTAAATCATTCAGATGTCTTAGGTATCCTGAGATGAACAGTGATAACACTGATCGGCGACTACAAACAACATGTACGCTATTTCTTTGGAACGTTTAGTTTGCCCGCTTTTTTGTAGCATTTCAAAATTTCAGAATTTCTTTACTTTTATTTTTATTAATATCTTTTTTATTTTCATTAATGAAATCCAAACAGACGGCGGTAAGAGGTCCTACAGGCGGCGGTAGACCGCCGGTAACCGGCTTTTATGGACACCCCTGTAATATATTATTTGTGCATGATGCAGACGTTCGATCGAGCAACAAGCGATCGAGCAAAACTGAAACCCGGGAACTAAAATAATTCATCAGAGGCTATCAATATTTGATAAAACCTCCTCTATTAAAGCTCAGAAAAACTATTATCTTTAAAGTTTTTGAAACAGAAGGATTTCGTAAGCAGGACTTCACTTAGGCTCGATTTCCAGCCGTTTTGGGAGTCCGGTTGTTTATCCTCCTCTCAACGAACGGCTAGATCACTGGTCCATAGCGCTTGTCCGTGACGTCATATCTGTTACTCGGCAAAAAATTAAACCTGTTAGCAAAGATGTTTTCTATGAGGAAATGTTTTGGATAATTCAAGGAAAAGCGTAAAACTAAAACAGGAACTTGTTTCAAAGCTACAAGAAAATGTAGCCAGCAGGAATCTCGACACGAAGGGTATCTTTGCAACGATTGTCACAAATCCCTGCGTAAACAAATATTTAAGTTAGTTGAAATCGTCGACCCTGAGCCCGAATGGCGTAACTTGGCAAGAGAACTATCCAACTGAAACCAGGAATAATAAGCCAACTTTACCTCTTCAGCCTGCCTCTGTTGCAAGATCTCTGTAACTAACTAGAGCTTTTCCTCACCGATATACCATGCCGGTTCTACCACTCTCGGTAGCATGACTGAATGTCGCTAGTTCTGCAGAATTTCCGAAGCAAAGGAGCTCCCGTGTGTAGAATTGAGGTAATAACTCTTTTTTCTTCGCAAAAAAAGATACCAAAGTGTTATTAAGGTCCCAGTTATATGGTCTCGGGTACCTGAGACAACCCTCCCCGTGAGGCAACTTTATCGAGCGTTTATAGGTCCCTGAAGGTCGAGTCAAAGTTGATTCTGCATGATTATTCATAACCCTTATTGAATAACCAAATGTGCAAATATCCCTCTATCTTTGAGTTTTCCTCGGTCATTCGATCACAATGGGTTTTGCCGAATTAATATTCACTTCAATATTCACACAATTTCTGTTTTAAATCTTAAATCTAGGTAGTATGTGACACTCGCCACGGCGAGAGCTGTCCCGGTTAGGCGAGCCAAAGCGTTTACATGAAGAAAAGTTGTCCCGCCCGCCAGGGTTACCCTACCAGCCGAGGCGAGACGACTCGCCCACCCGATTTGTCTCGTCCCCCGAGACGGGTTCGCGATCCCAATGTAAACGGTTGGTTGAATTTTGTAAAGAAATAAGCTAAAAGTTACCCCTGCCATGGTAATTCGGGGGAAGGGTTGTCTTGGGTGCCCGAGACCATATAAATGGGGCCTTAGGCTGCCAGTTCCTATAACGATTTTAGTGATCCGACAACGAAGTGAACAAAAATTGCGTGTCATATGTTTGGGTAAACACACGCGTAATAAAACTCGTATCCAAGCTTTATGCGGTTTAGTTCTAGCCCTACGTTTTTGAAATTATCAAAAATTGTTATTACAAATAATCAACATTCAAAATCAAGTTGATTTACAAGTAAAAATCGCCCAAAATACCCTCTTTTTTTTTTTTGGAAAATTGAATATTGAGGCACACGCGTTTCCTCGGTGTCCACATCTGTAAATAATGCCAAATGTTTCAGCCATAACCATAAACACGCACAGTAAACCTGCATACATGCATGGAAAACTAATTGGTCTGTTGTTTTGGGTGTCTCACTAAAGCAGATAATAATAAACAAAACTTACAGAGATTTCAGATTTGGTGATTACAAGTAACCCACCCGCGACCCCTTCCCCCTTCTTGTAAGACAGTTGAGGACTTGATTAAAGAAAACTGTTCAAAAGAGCATGTATCACCATTACACTTACATTACAAAAGTTATGAGGCTTGCAAGGTTTCTCCAAATCTCAGAAGTAAACCCTCCCTTTGGCATGTTGTGTGTACATTCCTAATTGTCACAATAATACTTGAAATTGGAATAGAGTATCCCTCCAGTGCACAGGTGAGGTGTGTTTCTTCCTCCCCTGCCATTCTTATGGTGGTATGCTTCAATGTTTCTTAAAGGACCATAATATTTTATGACTTTAACCCCTTGATTATAAACTGCCATTTCATATGCGATTGTCGGTATTAAAATTCTTATGTTGCCATCTGATTTGGCCAAATCACCAAGAATGTTTTCCTGATTTAGTTGATCAATTCTGGCTTGAACGATGCATCTCCATATATACACTCTTTGGATCTCCCTGTATCATTCAAGACAACTTGTTTCATCTGACAGTAAATAATAAATATATAATCAGAGTTAGGCAAAAGGGCAAAGGTGAGATTTGCATCACCACTGGCAACTTGAACAGAATATACAATGTTTTTTTGATTGGGAATCTGATGAAGAATGACAAACTGTTCCATCTCCAAGACTTAAGTAATTTTGTCTTGGGTTTTCTTAGTTGCTATTGTGGTGAACTCAACAAATAAAAGGGGACCCTTAACAAGAGGACATATTTCACTTATTCTTGAAAACTATTTGTGGAATGTTTGCTTTCTTGTTTTTTCTGAAACACCCTTGTACAAACTTGATCAGCTGTCAATTTTTGGGTGAAAAGAATCAGTTATTTTTGAAGGGCTATTTAATGGTTTGACATCTGAAGTTAATAGAAATTACATAAAGCTATAAGGAATGCTGAAAGGACTGACTGATGGATATCACAGGAAAAAAAAAAAAGAATTGTCACAACTTAGTAAACCGTGTTGTACTAAACCGAGATACTGTATAATACCATAATAGTATAGGATAGCTTTGATTGTATAATTTGTTAAAGAAATTAAGGCCCAAAACTGAATTGTACA